AAGATGGTAAATACAGAGAGGATGCTAAGGAATCGTTGAAGTTCCTACTGAGTACACGTTTTCCTTCCTCAAAAGTCTGCCCCCGCGCAGATGCCGACCCTGAAGTAATGGACATAACCCGTCCATCAATTAGGGTTCGCAGCATAGTTGGGAACATTTTTACACCCAACAGAGTAAAGTGGGCTATTTCTAATTTCAAGCCATTAAAATCGCTTGGAGGAGATGGAATTCTGCCTATTTTTCTGCAAAAAGGCTTAGAAGGCCTTCTCCCAGTAATAATATCCCTATATATAGCTAGCTACAGCTTTAGCTATATACCCACACTATGGAGGAAAGTAAAGGTAGTCTTCATACCTAAAGGTGATGGAAGATGGATCCCTCCTCAAAGGGATGGAAAAGGTAATCGATCAATACCTTAGGAATGAAGTACTTGTCACTAATCCACTCCACCCTAGCCAACATGCTTACCAGAGAGCAAAATCAACAATTACTGCTCTCCATGCTTTGACTAGCACTTTAAAGGAGGCAATTGCAACCAAAGAGATAACCCTATGTATTAAACTAAAACTAGAAACTTTCGGGTTTTGCCGTGCGTCTTTTAATAAAAGGTTTGACGTTTAATTAATAATCAGTTAACGCTAATTACAAGCTAATTATTTACTAATTGCGTCGCGTCCGGTGTGAGGCGGGAAGAGGTCTTCGTGTTCACCACCATCTTCCATGTTCTGCTAAGCTCCCAGCCATCCTCTCTGTTGACGTTATTTTTATGTCGGTGGATTTCATAGACATAGACGGTGCGTTTAATAACACCTCCTATGAATCCATAAAGAAGGCTCTAAACGTAAAAGATATACATCCGTCGACAATCAAGTGGTGTATAGCCATGTTGAAAAGTCGGCAGATCACAGCCAGTCTGGGAGGCGAATCGCTGACTATAAAGGCGCCAAGAGGATGTCCCCCAAGGGGGAGTGCTATCACCTCTATTATGGTGCCTGGTAGTTGATGACTTGATGATCACCCTAACTAAAAACGGATTTAAGATTCAAGGGTATGCTAATGACCTGATAATTACACTCCGAGGTAAATATGATACAATCATAACTCAACTAATGCAGAAAGCCCTACTACTCACCAGTACTTGGTGTAGAAGCAATGGGTTGAGCATCAATCCCAATAAAATCGAAATAGTCCCTTTCATTCGGAGAAGGAAGCTACAAATAAAAGCACCCTCCATTGAAAGCAGAACTATTAACCTCAAAACAGAAGTTAAATACCTAAGGGTAATACTGGACAGTAAACTAAACTGGAACTCACAATTAGATAAGGTGAGGAAAAAGGCCATCATGGCAAACCAGATCTGCCGCAGGATCCTAGGAAGGAACTGGGGTCTCAAACCACGAATGGCTCATTGGACCTATGTAGCAATAATCAGACCCATAGTCGCCTACGCCTCATTGGTTTGGTGACCAAAAACAAAACATAAGACAGCACAACAACAGCTGGCACAAATCCAGCAGTTAGCATGTCTTAACATAACGGGTGTAATGAGATTCTCTCCGAAATTAAAACGGACGTTATATCGACAGAATACAATTTCAACTAGCCGTATAAGGTCATATTTAGAAGCAGGAATGATTGGGCGAAGGGAGGGCCTCAACTAAAAAGAGGAGCCCTAGTCTGGTACACCGATGCTTCAAAGACAGTTAGATCCGGAGTAGGCATGGGCATCAGTGGACCAAATAGCCACATTAAACTGTCCCTCAGCTCGGACAATTTTCCAAGCAGAAGTTCTTACTATAAACTTCTGCGCCGCTTTGAACCTACAGAAGGGACAGAAAGGTGCATCCATAAAGATTTTCAGACAGTCGGGCCGCCTTATAGGCAATTAAGGCCTACACGAGCGACTCGGTACTGATCAGAGAGTGTACCAGCAACTTGAGAGAACTCGCTAGGGGCAATGATGTTACCCTATGGTGGGTTCCAGGTCACAACAACATTGAGAGCAATGAGAAGGCGGACAAGCTGGCCAAAGAGGCAGCGAACACGCCCTTCATTGGACCCCAACCTGGCTGTGGACTACAAAAAAGCCATCTAAAACAAATAATCAACACTTGGGAGGTCTCAAAGGTAGCCTTACGCTGGAAAGAACTTCCAGGTCACAAACAAGCGATCAGTATGATAACTCCGTCGCAAAACAAAACCAAAGAGGTTTTATGCCTCAGCAAAGGGGATCTAAGGACGCTCTCAGGTTACCTGACCCTAAAATATTAGGGCCATGTGCCCCTAAAATACCACCTCTTCCATATTGGACAAGCTGAGGATCAAACTTGTCGACTTTGCAACGACGAGTCAGAAACTGCTGAACATATATTGTGCAATTGCATCGCCAGAGGCCGTCTAAGACACAACATTTCCGGTAAAACTCCATTGACACCTACCGACATAAAGGTTCAACACCTCAGGACAATATTAAGGTTCATCAAGGATCTACATTTGCCCTAAACCTTTGGAGGGCTAAAGTTACAATAGATCTTATAGGTCGCAGTAACGAGAGGGGCCGCTCCCCTCAGCCCGGCAGCAATAATAATAATAATAAGGCTAATCCTAAGTATTCTCAAAAAAATACGTTGGAAAGGAAAAATACAAGAACATTGAGAAAAATATTTAATAGAAATGACTTTGACAGTTTATAGCAGGAGATTTGGAGAAAGATACGTGGACAGCAAGGATAAATGAAAGAATTAATAGAGATAAGATACATAATTAGATAAGTAAAATCAAAAAGTGACTACAAAATGGGTAATAATGAGATATAACGCCGATACTGTGCTACTAGCTGAGAACGAGAACGGTTTGCAAAGATTATTGCATCAGTTTAATCCTTAACCTGAAACAATGAAATAGCAACCTTATTAAAAACTAAGAGACACAGATAGATCTTAAAAAAAAACTCTGCAGGAGTTCAGCTACTATAGCAGAAAAATTTTCATGTACAAATCTGTACAACTCTGCACGAACAGAGTTAAATAGCAAAAGAAGCCGCTTCAAACGGAAGTTGTATATTATAAATTAACTTTCTAAATACACACAATTCTTTCAAATTTTTACGCGGCAGATACATTCCAAATACGGGTTTTATGTGAAAACAAGATAGGTTCCAAGATTTGAAGAATCGACTGAAAAATGGTGTAAATTTAGTAAAGTAATTCATTGAATCTGCAGACATTATATCATCGAATCCTTCTCCACCTAAGTATTTCATGACCTAACGCTATTATGTTAGCATAATGAACCGTATTAGGCGGCACATGAACTTTATTTTCAATTCGTATAGTGCTAATCCAACATGTTTGATGCAGTCATTTATAGAAATATTCTTCCATGCATCTGTAGGTAACTGTTACGTTTTTATTGATCTAAAATGTATTGAAATGTCTGCTTTACATAATAGGTCTTAAAGTTTGCGATAATTCCTTAGTTCAGTGGTTGTATCAAGAAAGTCGTATTTGGCAGAAGGAATATACAGGGGATATTCCATTCTAAATTTAACTCTATATTGATCCCGCAATGTGGGGATTCCCACATTGCAATTTCTCTTGCTTGCGTACACGAAATCTTAGTGTGAAAATTATTCAAAGTTCAAATTTCTTGAATCGCGTTAAATCAAATTAAATCTAAAACTGTCACAGTTCTATGTCATAGATCTATTATCATATTATCAAATATTTGTAACATTTTGTCAATTTACACCAAGTTTTACACTATGTAATATATTTGATCACAGTATTATACAAAATCAATGAACAACAGTTTTTTGCTTTTGATGCCTGTTCGAGTTCAATAATTACACAATATGTTTGTTGTTCAAAAAGCAACGTAAAAAGGAAAAACGAGTGTGAATTAGGCCTTGGGTAGCAAGTCGTAATAATTTGTGAATTCACAATCATTTATTGAGGGAACTGAAAAGTGAAGATTCAAAACATTACCAGAACTAACTATTTAAGAATGAATGAGAAGAGCTTTTGTTTCTTGTTTCTTCGTCTAATTGTAAGTATATAAATGGATTTAAAAGAAAAATACTCATTTGAGAAACATTATAATCATGGAACCGCCTTATTGTAGTACTTATTGTAATGATGTAATGAATACATAATTCACTATTACATATCTGTGAAAATCTATTATCAGAATAGTGATACATATAATATTGAGATTTTTTATCCAGTGATAATCAAATAGCCATTTCAGTTTTAAGTACAACTAAAATTCCATTACTTATAGATCTGATATCTCAAACTTAACTTTCAAATAATCTAAAAAATCACTCAAATTATTACTAAAATTAAAAACTAAAATAATAAAAATATCAATTTTTGTGTAATTAAAAAAAAATAAAAAAAAAGATTTATTTACACAAAAAAATTTTATGTTATAATTTGTGCCGCGTAGTAAAAAGTATTAAAAAAAAAAGTAATAATCATCTCTACCAAACACCACAAAGGTCTAATTGAAACGACATTAAATAGATCTTAACCCATGATCTAATTAATATCCATTTTTTGTTTCATTATCTTCTTGATATCCTTTAGCATTTTGGAGGACATGGTGGTGGGCATGGTGAGCAGCAAGGGACATAAACGCAACACGGTGGAAGGCAAGGTGGGCAGCATGGTAAGCAACAAGCTGGCGGGCAACAAGGCACGCAGGGTGGGCAGCAACACACAGGCGGGCAAATAGGGGGGCAACAGGGTGGGCAAGACATATTGCTTAGATTATTTTCTTATTTTTCACTTTCTTCAATTAATTATTAAAAGAAATTCTTTTTTGTATTTCTACCACACGGCGTTCGATTAAACACTTAAATTTTTTTTAATTAATTTTTACCGAAAAGCGATCTTCACAGTTTGAATGATTTTGAAAAACTAAATTTGTTTTTTTATTTGATTTTTCTAGATAGTTAGTTACGAGATATGGTGATTTGATTATTTTTTAAAACGTACCTTAAAAACATGGAAGGCTTCAAATTGAATATTTCTCGATCTTTCTTTTAACATCATCATCATAAGTTTTAAATTTTCTGGATTTGATATATATCTTGTCATAACCTAAAAACATAAAAAATAATTTTAAATAACGCAATTTAATTCTATTTCTATATTACTAGAAATTAATCATAAAAAAATCTAAAATTATCTCTACCTTTATCATTTACAAGTAATAATCATGAGCAAATTATTTCACATAAAAACTTGAATCACTAAAAATGAATCATAAGTAATAAAAGTATTTACACAATTTTAATTGCAATGATTTTGCGTAATTTTAGGAATTAATTTTTTTAATCTTACAAATATATTTATTTTTTTTTAATACAGTAAATCCTCGATATAACGGATTAATTTCATTATTAATTTAGTCCAATAAAAATATATAATAATCTAACGCTGAATAACAACTAAAACTAGAGCTAATACTAGCAGTAGAAGTAGTAGTTTAGCTGTGCGTCTTTTAAGGAAGGAACCTGGTTTAGACGATCGAAAATTACATGATATTGCCCATTTTGTTACAAGTATTAATTACTTAAATACTTTATACAGGAAACTCCAGTTATAAAGTACTCTCTAAGGACAAACAAAAGTATTTTATAGGCAGGGTTACGCTATAAAGAAAGCACAATAAAAAATGTATGTACGTACAGGGTGGGCAAATTTGGGTGTTATTATAGGCTATCTCAGAAACTATAAGAGGTCTCTTTTTTCGAGACTAACCAAATCCCGCAAACACCAAACCTCTATCTTCTTTTGTTTTTAAGTTATAGCCAAAAAGTCAAATTTTCGTGATTTCAAAAAATGCTCATATTTCGTTTATTTTTGAAATTAGAGAAATGGGGTTGATACGTTCTTAAGACACTTTTTTAAGCAGAATATACTGCCGTTGAAAAATTTTAAAAATATTTGAAGATTTTTGAGATACAACACAAAGTTGTATTTTTTTAAATACAAACTATACTTGATTATGATGTATTTGCGGAAAATAAGCGTTAATTTTCAATTCCAAAATAGTAAGCGCTAAAGTTCAAAATTTTGATTATAGTAGGCGGGTTCGGACAGTAATTACTACCTAATTGCTATATGGTTTTGCACGAATAGGACAGAAAGTTGTACCATTATGCAGGATAAAGTTAGTTTTGTACCAATGAATAAAAACTTTGAAGAGTTGATTTAAATTTCTCAGTATCTTATCCCTTACTTTGTTCACCAATAAAAAATGATTTGTAGATAAAGTTTGTTTATTAAAAATACAAGAAACATATTAATTAATGAATAATTAAATATGAACAACAACTTCAGGAACTAAACAGTCACAGACTGTGTCATCTTCTTCTACTAAACTTACTGGTTGTAAGGTTAGAACAGTTGGGTATCAATGAATGAAATCTTCGGTAGTATCTTCCCAGTTTTCCCCAACCATGAGATTTAGAAGTTTTTTCATATTAGCAACCTTTTCTTTTGAAATTGGGTGAGATAGAGGAAGATTAGGGATCATAAACTGGGCAGCGAACTTTCCATTGAAACGATGCTTATATGGGATATGGAGCCTTATCTATCATTTTCAAAGAATCATTTTTTTAATCTTATCGCTTTATGTATTTTAAAGATAATGAGGAATTTTTAAGCGGCAAACTCGTTTGGAAAAATTCATGAATGAAATGATCAGTAAACTCACGTTACTATAGTAACTAAGTGGTATTTAACGTTTTCCTCGCCTACTATAATTAAAATTTTGAATATTAATCTTTAATATTTTAGAATTAAAAAATAACGCTTATTTTCCGCAAATACACCATGCGTGCAATAGATCATTGGAAAGCTACAAATATGCTCTTTTCAGTAACACCATAATCTACTATAGTTTGTATTTAAAACAACACAACTTTGTGGTGTATCTCAAAAGTCATCAAATATTTTTAAAATTTTTCAACGGCAGTATATTCTACTTAAAAAAGTGTCTTAAGAACGTATCAACCCCATTTCTCTAATTTCAAAAATAAACGAAATATGAGCATTTTTTGAAATCACGACAATTTGACTTTTTGGCTATAACTTAAAAACAAAAGAAGATAGAGGTTTGGTGTTTGCAGGATTGGGTTAGTATCGAAAAAAAGAGACCGGGACATGGCACCTACTTTTTTCGTATCTCTTATAGTTTCTGAGATAGCCTATAATAACACCCAAATTTGCCCACCCTGCACATATTTATATTTGGTATAAAAATAGAAATTAAACTAAACCAAAAACAGTTCTTTAAAAACTTATAAGCTTTCTTGTATAAGAGGTATATGTAAAAAATACATACGTAATAAAAACGTATAAAAAACGTGTTATTTTGGTTTTCTGATTTTTTCCATTTGTGCCTCTCAATAGTTTTAATAGAATGAAGTGCCTCAGAACAACTTGGAACCACATGTTGAATATCATCGTCGCTTTCGTTGCCCGAACTTTGAGGATCATTTAATATCTCATGTGGCTTCAAACTTCAGTAATAATATCATTATTATCCGTTAATGACTCCGTTGTTACTAAATTATAATCGATTGTCGGAAAGCTATTCAGTTCAGGAAGATTCATTTCCGCTTTGGTTAGATCTTGAGAACTATTGCGCAACTCACTCATCGTAGTCAATTTTTTTAATTTACAAAAACACAAACATGAGATTATTGTTTACCGTCAATTAATAGCGGCCGCGTGGTATAATAATTTCGGATGTTAAAATTTTTGAATTTCTCCCAGCATTGTTAAATTTACAAGAAATTGTTACGATAACTTACACATTAAAATTATGTTAAAAACTAAAAAATCAAACAAGATCACAAAAATATCTTATATCTACTGTCGAAAAGGATCTGGTATGTGCAACTTTTGGATTATTCTAAGATGGAAGATTTTCGGAAACAGGTGGTGAATTTACACTTATAAAAGGCATAAACAAACAGTAAGGATTTATATCCGTAGCTTCGTTCATTAATAATTCTTTGTTATTATTATTATATTTAGATATTTCCATTTCTTCATATAAATCCAATTTTTTAGATTTTGGAAGCTGTCTAATAAGTCTTATCGAATCTTTGTTGAAGAGGTTTCTTATGATATGTGTTCTTTGATTCTAATGTTGAGGTTACGTCTCTTCTGGCCTATGTAAACTTTTTTACAACTGCTACAATTTACTATGTATAAACCGCTCTTTTGTTTTTATTCGATCTTTTGTTTTTAGTTGATAATTAGATTGCATAGTTTTAAGTTACTTCTGTATGCTAATTTTATATCATATCTCTGTAGTATTTTTTCAATTTTGTTGGACGAATTGTGATAATTTGTTGTTAGATAGTATGCGTCGTTCTTATATGCGGTATTTCATTATATTACGTTTCTGAATCTTGTTGTAAACATCTTGTATAAAAGCAACGTTATAACCATTATTGAGACCCAGCTTTATTATGGAATTTATTTCTTTGTTGAAATTTTGTTCATTCATAGGTGTATTGATGGCTCTATCTATCATATATCTAAAAACTGCCTCTTTATGATTCTTGTTGTTGTAAGAATTTTTCGGAATGATGACATCGGTTGTGGTTGGTTTGTGGTATACATTAAAATCTATTCTACGAAGATAAATACCTCTTATTTACACGCAAAAAACCTTTGAATGTATTGAATATTTATACAAACTAGCAAAAAAATTGAAAAGATGGAGAAAAAAATTCCGATTACGACAAAACTTTCATTACGGACCTGTATTTTTCTAAAGTCTGCAAACAACTCGAAAACCTTCACATATGACTCGAAACGTGTTTATAATACATTTACATTATCCTGTAATTGGGTCTTCCTGTTGGATAATAAAGAGATTTATTATTATTATTTACACCATAAATTCATCCAATAATATAAATACGGCCTTATCAATCAGCAATTAATGTGTAAATTTTTTATTTTTTACACCTTTTTTTGCCATAAAAACGACAATAGTTTTTTTTTTAATTTTCTCATCGTAATGTTCAAAATACATGGTTATACGAATACATTAGTGTTAAATCGTTTCAAATGCTTTAAGCTAAGATTGTGATAAATTTTATAACAGCGCACCCGCTCGAAGGTTAAGGTTGATGTTTTTTAGTAAAACTAAGTCTAAAAAATGAATAGCGTTATTAGATTCTTTTTCAATTGTAAACTTTAATTCTCTAATGTTGTTTAAAATGTTGTAAAATGTTTGACTTTGGGCCTTCACGTATTATTAAGATGTCATCAACGTATCGACCATAGTATTTGATGTTTTTAGTAAACATGTTATATTTTTCTGAGAATAATTGTTTTTCTATTGAATCTACATATATGTCGGCCAGTAACCCTGATAATGAAGATCCCATGGGCAGATCATTGTTCATTCTATAAGTTTTATTGTTAAAAGTAAAAAAGTTTTGTTTTATCTGTTCCAACATTAATTGTATGTTTTTGATGTCATGTTCTGTAAGAAATTCTAGCTCTGAATATTTATTTAGGAGGAGATGTTTAGTTATATTGAGTATTTCTGTAATTGGTACATTAGAGTACAGATTTTTTATGTCAAACGATATTAATTGGATTTTATTATTAATTTCGATATCTTTAATGCCATTTATTAATTGTTGGGAGTTCTTAACAATGGAGTCCTTTATGAAACAATATTTTACGTGTATAGTAGATGGTTCTTCCCAAATATAAGCAACAATTTTACAAATACACAAGTGTTTTTATATGTTGGACTCAGAAGTAACGTAACTGATTTGGTTTGTCGGTGAATTTATGTCGTAACATTGTATTCAAATTGTAACTCATTTTACCTCGATAAAAATGTGTTGATGGAAAAATAAGGCTCTTACAGATGAAGGCCTTCTTGAAGAAACGAATAAAGCGCTCGATGAGTTGGAAAACATGATTATTGATAACAACCCGGAAATTGATGAGGAGGATAAAGATTTAGAAAAGGGTGAATTTTTACAGATTACGAAAGTTATCGATGAAATTTATCAGACGAGAGCCATTGAAAATAATGTGATGATAAATTGTTCAAACTTCGACCTTTTATTCTAAAAGTAAATGAAATCTTTGAGACGTTATATTTCGGTTATTTTCGCATTCAAAGGTCGACCATCGATCTAACAATACAATCCCATGAAACCCATCAAAAGGTTTTATTTTAAATATTTTGTGATTCGATGTGTATCAAGGGGAAAATGGAGCTACGAATGAAGAATAGAAGGACTATGGGTTAGAAGAAAAAGTTGTGTTATCTCTTACCAAAAAGGAATGGGGCAAAAAAAAAAGTGATCTACTTCGAAAATTTTTTTTTGTACCTCTTGTAGAGGAACTAAAAGCAAAAAATACATATGCGTGTGGAACTATAAGACCAAACAAGAAATGTATTCAAAAAAAATTAGTATCTAATAAGCAAATGGTGAGATTCAGTTCACAGAATATAGGGTTTTTCAAGTAGAAAGGCAACAAAGTCGTATCTTTATCTCAAATCTTCACTTGCAAAAAGTTTCTGGTGATGCTGGCGGTATGTGACTTTGCATCGTCCTGCATTAGAATGAAATTTTGACTGACCCTATATGCAGCAGGTACCACATAGTTCTCCAAGATGTTTTCGATGTTAATCTACTAGGAACAACAACAAGATCAGTTCTGTTGTCTCTACTGATTCCAGCCCAAACCATAACAGATCCCCGAGCAAATCTATCCACTCCTGTATAGTAGCGGCTGCGTAGCGTTCACCAGGACGTCTACATACACATACTCGACCGTCGCAATGAGTTAAATGGAATCTGAACTCGCCTGTGAACAGTACAGTCCAGTGACGAAATTGCAAATCTCTGTGATACAGAGCAAACCCCATTCGCGCTGCTTTGTGATGATGCGTAAGGCGTGGTGCACGGACAGGTCTTCTAGGTTTCAAATTCTTCTTTTAATCTGTTTCTAACAGTTTGATCAGAAATTTCTATTCCATGTGCTCGTCTTAAGTCATTTAGGAGATCTCGTGCTGTGGCAGTTCGCGTACGTAGACAGGAAAGGACAAGAAATCGGTCTTGATTTTTTTAGTAGTTTTTCGATGTTGAGCTCTTCTAACATGTGGGTCAGTCTCCCGAAACCGATTCCATCAACGCTGAATAATAGAAGGGGAAACTCGAAAATCCCTGCCGAGTAGAGTGGCCATGCTGAATAAGGACGACAGCACGAGCAACTTGCACTTCACTAAGATGCCTCACGACGCTTCCAATCAACGAAAATTGATAGCTGAATGCATTTGTTATCTTTAGTAGGCTTTCATTCGCGAATTCAAAGCATACTAGACATTTTTTCCACTTTGTTTAGCGTTATTAATTTACATATTTAAGTGTAACTTAGAAGTATCTAAGAGTAGTAACATTGTTTTTGTAATTTTCTTTAGCTAAATATATGCTGTTGAAGTAAACCAAAACTTAAAAAGTTACAGTGGGAAACCAAAAGTGTTTCCCAAATTTTTTTGAGCACTATATTTTACCCAGTGTGATCCTATATTTGTTTCAATAAAAATGACAATATTTTTTGCTTTTGTATTTTGATGTTGTTCTATTTGCCTGATGGTACTTTGGAGTACCACCATTTCTTTTTTTTTTTCAAAAACCACCGAAAGCAAAAAATTTTAAAAAAACTACAGTGTGTGTCAAATATAGCCAATAACTTCGCCATTTGTGGTTTTAAAGAAAAATGTTTCAAATAAAAAATTCTTTATTAATTGTGGCGCATTTTTTGAAGATAATTTCTGGTTTACATTGTTCTTTGTTTCGTTGCTATGACAACCAACATTGTTATTTTAAATGGGATGCATATGCTTTTTTGCACATTTTAATAGAGGATAAATCTCTACGCGATGAACATATCAAATCACATGGTTGTATAAGAAAAAATGCGTTCTCTGAAAATATTAAATCAGCAAATTATAGTCAAAGTAGGTGTCGAAATAACGCCGTTGACAGCTTTAAATGTCAAAAAATTGATAGTTTAAACAAATATGGCGCAATTAAGCGAACGACAAAGAATTCAAATATTAATAATGTATGGGTACGGTGATAGAAAACGCACTCAAAGTGAAGTTTGTACACTGTTCAATAATATTTACCCGGATACACACATTACACAATCCACAGTATCGAAAATATTAAAAAAATTCTTTAACACCGGAAGTGTTAAAAACCTTCCAAAAAGTTGATGGCCAAAGACAGCTACCAATGACCATATATTATTAATTATTCATAATTGTTGAAACTGTAATTTTTTTGACATTTGTAATTAGCTGATTTAATACTTTCACAAAAATGCATTTTTTCTCGATTTTTTTCTTATACAACCATATGATTTGAAACTTATATTTGAAAAATTTTTCTCTAAAACCACAAATGACGAAGTTATTGGCTATATTCCAGACATTTGACACACCCTGTATAGTTTAACAGTATTATTTTGAAGTCGAAATGCTAGCGATGGAAAAGATAGTGATTTTGCGAAAAGCCGGATACCGGATATTCAGCATCCCCTTCGGCCGGATATCCGGCCATTATGGTTATAATTTCTGGTGCATTTCTGAAGTGATACCCTATATTACCACATTATTGCGATATTTGAATAAAAATGAAGTTAATACGAAAGCTGATATAAGATATATCAACTTATTTGGATCCAAGATACAAAATGAATTTTTTGATGCTGATTTAACTAACGCGGCAACTCTAAAAAGAGAATACTTTAATTAATAATCGGCGATATTTCCACAAGGATCCTTCAAGAAATGAATTTTATAGCTAATTTTGAAAATTATCGATGAAAATTGCAACATCGAAAATTTTATCAAAACATCAAATATTGTTTTCTTAAAAACTAAAAGTTATTTTTCAAAACGGGTTGGTTTATTGGAAAGAGGCCACTCTCATTAACACTTTGGAAAATTTTCATACTCATATTCCAAGAACTGGATTTTATACGAATTTTTAAGACTTAATCAGCGAAAGTTGCAAAATTCGAAAAAATTGTCGATTATTTCAAAAATTTATTTCTTAAAAACTAAAAGTGATTTTTCAAAACTGCTTATTGCATTAAAAAGAGGATACTTTAATTAATAATTGGTGATATTTCCAGAAGGATCCTTTAAGAAATTAATTTTATAGCAAATTTTGCAAGTTATCGATGTAAATTGTAACATCGAAAATTTTATCAAAACTTCAAATATTGTTTTCTCAAAAACTGAAAGTTATTTTTCAAAACGTGTTGGTTCATTGGAAAGAGGACACTTTTATTAATACTTTGGGAAATTTTCATACTCATATTCCAAGAACTCGATTTTATACGAATTTTTTAAACTTAATCGGCAAAAATTGCAAAATTCGAAAAAATTGTCGATCATTTCAAAAATTTATTTCTCAAGAACTAAAAGTGATTTTTCAAAATGGCCTTTTGCATTAAAAAGAGGATACTTTAGTTAATAATTGGTGATATTTCCACAAGGATCCTTCAAAAAATGAATTTTATAGTGAATTTTGAAAGTAAAAGTAATATTGAAAACAATATTTGAATATTGTCTTCTCAAAACTAAAAGTTTGTTTTCAAAATTGGTTTGTTCATTGGAAAGAGGACACTTTTATGTACATTTCGGGAAATTTTCATACTCATATTCCAAGAACTTGATTTTATACGAATTTTTAAAACTTAATCGGCGAAAATTGCAAAATTCGAACAAATTGTCGATCATTTCAAAAATTTATTTCTCAAGAACTGAAAGTGATTTTTCAAAACGGCTTGTTGCATTAAAAAGAGGATACTTTAATTAATAATTGGTGATATTTCCTCAAGGATCCTTCAAGAAATTAATTTTATAGCGAATTTTGAAAATTATCGATGAAAATTGCAACATCGAAAATGTTATCAAAACTTCAAATATTGTTTTCTCAAAAACTAAAAGTTATTTTTCAAAACGGGTTGGTACATTGGAAGGAGGGCACTCTTATTAACACTTTGGGAAATCTTCATACTCATATTCCAAGAACTGGATTTTATACGAATTTTTTAAGCTTAATCCGCGAAAATTGCAAAATTCAAAAAAATTGTCGATCATTTCAAAAATTTATTTCTCAAGAACAGAAAGAGATTTTTCAAAACGGTTTTTTGCATTAAAAAGAGGATACTTTAATTAATAATTGGTCGTAATTTTACCAAAACTCAAATATTGTTTTCTCAAAAACTAAAAGTTATTTTTCAAAATGGGTTGGTTCATTGGAAAGAGGACACTTTTATTAACGCTTTGGGAAACTTTCACACCCATATTCCAAGAAATCGATTTTATACGAATTTTTAAAACTTAATCGGCGAAAATTGTAAAATTCGAAAATGCCGGATATCCGTTCCACCACTACAGAATGCCATGCAAAATATATTTTTTCCGTGTTTTTTGTACGTCAACAAAGGGTTAAAAAATAATGTGAACATTAACATTTATTTAATAATAAATTGGAGTTTTGTAAATAATCATAAAGGAAATACCACATACTAATTTTAACTATGCACAGAACTCAGTATGAGTGCGCTTTTCTAAGTTATGCACGCAGTCTTTCAGCAGCTGTAACTGAAAAAGGACTTCGAATTTTGACATAAAGCTTTGGTAACATATTTTAAATTTTTTGACCTTCTAAACCAGGTTCTGTCCATAAGACTTAAGATGGTAAACCCAAATATTTCTAGTTCTAGTGTTAGTTGTACTTAAGAATATACAGCAATTTAGAGCTGAATAACAACTAGAACTAACATTAGACCTAGAACTAGAAAGATTTGAGTTTAGCTATAAGTTTCTTAACCCTTTCGTTACTAAGAGCGTACGCATAGGTTTTTGTATATGTGGGCTTGCTATATGATCTTGAAAATACTCCGTAACGAAAGGGTTAAGATGGCTAAAAATATTTTGTCCATTATATCCAAAGTCTGTTCTAACAAGGTCCATTATATCAAGGATATACTGTATTTCTTTTTAAACTTACCGTGAAATTATGCCTATCTAATAAAAGTTCCCCAAGTAATTTCAAGCTCTGCCTACGAGTGACATAATTTTCCGAATTTAAAAGTCTTTGATAGTGGCTGAACACTTTGTCGTAATTAGCATCTAAAAATTCGGCGCAAAGTATTTTATGTCGAGTTAGTAATTCCTAGAAACAAAATATCCCTTTATTAATACAAAAAAATAATTCGCAAACAAAAGGAATCATTTAATCTTAATTTATTAATATTAAACATATAGATCGTAATATTCAACCGGTGATAAAAAAAAATTATAAAGATTAGATTATAAAAACAAACCTTAAATGTTGAAAAGGCATCAGAGGCAATATCAAACGTTGAGACCTCCACATATGTAAAAAACTTATAAAAATCTTCTGAGTTTAACATGATTTTAGCCAATGCTTCATACCTAGCACATTCCCTCAACATAGTACCACAATTTAAGGCTATTTCCTGAGTCTCATATCTAAAAATTTAAAAAAAATTTATTTAAATCATTCGCATATTTATTAATTAATTTACCCTGCCATTAATTGAAATAAAATCTCTGGTTTTGTGCAAATATATTCAACCGTAGGCGATCTAGTACCAATTTGTCTGCGTAAAACATTATTGAACACCTGAGCAACATCTTTCTTTCCCTCAAAATCGATTTTATTCAAATTTTGTATCAGCAACAGTAATAAATTGTTGTTGTATAACTCTTGGGCGAGCTGGGCGACGATAATATCCGTTTGGGGCTCAGCATCTGAAGTCCCGTAGAGCATGTTTTTAATCAAAACCAGGTTTTTACTGACATCTTCCTGAGCTTTTTCGACCTTCTTTTCGCCACCTTTTTCGAGTGCACTCACAGACTCTCTAAGGGCTCGGACAACGTCCGCGGGACTTTTTTGTGATTTGCCGAACAGCGGCATGATAAAAACGGTGGAAGATATCGGTTCGTTTCCGAAGAAACTGTCACTAACCTGAATTGGTGTTCGCGTAACCTTTCGGTCTCTTCACCGATCTCTTTTATGATGGAAGCGGACTTCCGTGCGGAACTTTTAAACTAGTTTTAGCCAGACATATCACAAAAAACGACTAATTTTAGTCCGTTTCAGTTCGTTTCGGGGCCGAATTAGTTACTATCTTCGGGTTTTTGACAGGGACGTATGACTTTTACGTCCATAGGGGAATTTCACCACATCCAACTGATACACATAAAATATTACTAAAATATCACTAGAACGTCACTATTCATGAAAACGTTTCCGTAAGAAATAAATAATTAACAATACGTTATGAATTGATTGGTGTTAATTAAAAAAACATATTTGTTGATATGTTATCGGTAAAAGTGATAAGTTAGCTTAAAAAATTATAATTTACTCATCTTTGATATAGGCACCCCATCATACATCATGCGTAATATCCGTTGTATGTACTTAAATTATTAAAGACTAACGATAATTTTCAACATTTATTAAAAATATAATAATTTTTATCACAATAAAACACATTATTAAGTTAAATCAGATTAATTTTTATCTTAAGATCCAATTTGTATTACATCCAACTTAGTCATTATCAATAACATATAAATTCACTCCGATAAGATTATATACATTAACAGGACGTTGTGAATGGGTTAATAAATACAATACAATTTTTATATATTTACTTTAAAAACGATAAGTTATCTTTAAAAAATAAAAATAGAAATAGTATTTATTTGATATAGACAACCCAAAGTACTTCATCAGCACCGCGCCATCTAAAAACATTTATAATAACTATATTTAAACGAATACAAATTCTTTATAAATCATGAAAAAAAAGAAATAAAATCGATTTTACTTAAATAAAAAAGTTCATACCACTAAAATAGAAGACATTAGTACATTTCACAACAATTCGAATAACTTTTGATTTAGATGGGGGAAACGTGTGGACAAAATTGCGGAGGGTTGCAACATTGGGGTTGAAAACGTGAAGGGGGAAAACCATCGTTCAGAATTCCAAGAGGAGACCCCTCAGACTCCATGGTATTAGTCGAAAAAGCGTCCTAGGTTTCAACTCCGGGGTCAGACACGTGTCTGACGCGTACCTCTGCGGATGCAGCTGCCTCCCGTTCAATTCGCGAGGAACTTTTTTGGGGATCTCGTTTTTTGTCCATCTATGCCACGTGTATGCGAGACGAACACGTGTGTTACCCCGTAATAAGGGGTAAAAATGTTGACATTAAAAAAAGGTGGAAGAAATGAAATAATAAAAAGATTTTTTTAAAAATTTTTATATATAAATTCATATAAGAACAGATTTTGGTTTTAATGTTGGATTGTTCTTGATGATGGGGAACATATTGATCTGTTTCAATCTCCCCCATCTCTCTTTGCACCCCCTTGAGTACTCTAGCCCTTCTGTTACATCTCTTGAATTTAACCCGATTATCTTACATTCGAATTTGATTGAAAACCTGGTTGTAAAACATGTACAAAAGGCAACAAAAGCCAATGAACAATGTAGGTATATAAGCAGGAAATAGATACAATTGTAAGTACGGTATCTAGGTCGAAACCTGCCACCGTCGTCTTCTATTGCTAATGGTATTATTTCATTAGAGCGGCGTCGGCGGCTCCTATACTGGGAACAAATCCTTCCGTGTCCAGTTTCGACCCATTTTTTTTCTTTTGCTTTACGTTCATAATCGCGAAAGCCACTCCTTTACTAATTAAGTAGAAGAGAAGATCGTGCAAATGGATTTTATTACTACACACCCATAAATCACGCCTCGTTTGTACTCTTTTATGGTTACTTCACTGACCTAATTGTCATAGAATAAAATGGATCTTTTTTATAGAATTAATTAAGGAAGGTATTTAGTTTTTTTAGTTTTTATATTGAAGCCTCCTTCATAAAAAATACGTAAAAGTGAATTTCACTTCGAGTTTGTCTGTCATTCATTATGTTATTTATTCGTTTAAATAATTTATTATTATTATGTTGTTTTCTTTGTTATCTGGTTTTAAATATTAAACCTTTACTCATGTCAGCATTGTTTTTGAAGTTATGGTGAGTTAGATTAAACTTACTGGATTCAAGTACTATATTTCATGAAAGGAGTATTAAGCATGTATTAGTGTTTTTATTTGGGGTCTTTATTTCCTTCTAGGGAAAAATTCTTCGAAGAAATTTGTCCTCAGAAATCTTTCGAAACAGTTAAAACGTCGGAAATGATACTTCGGTATCATGACAAAATTTAAACTTCTTTATAAAAACCAAGATCTCTTACCAAAATGTTTTAATTGATTTTTTGATTATCTACTTTTAATTGAAACGCATGGATTGAAAGATGTTGCTATATAATCACCATCTTCACTGTCTTGTTTTACTTCCAAGGAGGGATTAAGTTCATCCTTAACAATCTTTAGAAATTGTTGAAATGGCAGAATTGGTACTTCGGTTGAATGAGGAATAGGTAGACTTGCGAAGGCTAAATTAGGATATTTCATAAGACAGAAACTGTAGTCGTTCTGCTATCTAAATTCTTTCCAAACTATTGACACGCCAAATTTCAGAAACTTCTTTTTTCCATTAGCCCAAATAGGTCTTGACGACCAACTTTAACGCCGAAATATCTAAAACTACCTTTTTACAATGTCAAAAATAGATTTTCAGTTTTCGTTGAGAACTCTTATACTCTATACATGTAATAAAACACATCCGCAGAAATTACACAAGTCCTCCTTTATTTAGCCATCGTTGAAGTGTAATTTCGAACAATATTCATAAATCAAGAATATGTTATACCGCAACTTGAGGTGTAATTGATTTCCGAAACTATAAAGGTGTATTGTTATCTTTTGAGACCAAATCCATCAATAAATTTGTTATAACTTCGTAGACTCTACGGCCAGTGTTATTAGATATAAAACTAAAACTAGAAACTTTCCGGTAATGCGTGGCGTTAATTGAAAAATTGTTTGACGTGTTGGAACCTTCTTCAGAAATAAGTTCAAAAGTGACAAAATGGTTGGAAAGTTGACAATATATGCACTAGGAACTGATTATCAACTCTTTAATGAACTAATTACTCTTCGTCAAATGACATGATGTAGTGTTCAGTTGGAAATCCTTCATCGAGTCCAGTAAATTCGGCACTGAACGGCACTTTGGTGAAAAATCCGAAATCCACGAAAATATTGCAAATTTATTCCACAATATGTGTTGAATCTTTAATGTGTGAGACTGTGTCATTTATAAAGGGCAACAATTCTTTGGCGAGGTGTTTCATTAGCTGATATGTAGGTGAGCTAATTGTGGTTACGATAGCTCATAGTCTGGCTTATAGATTTTTAGTAAACTATAGATGCTTGGTGCTACTGGTACCTTTTCTGTTCCTGCAGTGAAATATCGGACTAAATTAGGTACTTCATCTAACTATTTTTTCCGTGGAATTCTTTACAATTTTCTGCAGGTGTGTTTTTCTGCAGGATGCAATATAATGTTCATCTTGTTCTCGTACGCCTTTCTGTCCCTCACCACAATGACATTTCCTTTGTTAGCAGTTGGACTACTATGTCAATTCTCTCTCTTATACTACGTAAAGGTTTTCATTCACCAACTGTCAATTTGGATTTTGGTAGTTTAGCTGTTTTTAACACCCTTACGATCTCTTGATTATATTTTTTATGTGCAATACGTTATTGTTTCAAATATGTCAAATAATTGCGTTTGTCGAATCCCGTTATCATTTAACCAGTTATCAATGTTGCAAGTGAATTAAATATAAAATTAGAAACAGATGAAAAAACTTCTAACTTGTTTTATTTTATTAATATAAATCGGAACCAGTTTCGGAATGAACGTTCCATCATCAGCCGAAAGCTAATAAAAGGTAGAAATATAATCATTAATCAATTTTTCTCATTTTGTGGCAGTCTCTTCTTCTTTCTCCGCCAGAATGATCGTTTTGTAACACCGAACGCATTTATTTAATCTGATTTTTCTCTAATTTATGATGACCATCAGTCTCTAAATGTAAGTTTTTTGTACCTTTTTCATATTCTTTTATATTAATTTATATATATTTTTAGTTTCTGGCTCATTTTTACATTTATAACAAACCACATTTCATTATTATACTTTTATAACTTTAATTAAGACTTTGAATTATATCGCTAAGATTAATTTAACTTTTGTAACAAATTTAAACTTAACTTTTTCGGATTTTTACATGTAACTTCATTTGTTCAATATTTTTCAAATTTTAACATGCGGCTTCTTTAACAACAAACGTCTCCATTAATTACATCTCTTCTCGCCTATTAGTTTCTCTGACAGTAAGTTGTTGTCCTATTTTAATATTAGTATATATTTTTTATTATTTTTTAATTCTTATTAGCTTTCGGCTGATGATAGAACGTTGATTCCGAAACCGGTTCCGATTTATATTAATAAAATAAAGCAAGTTAGAAGTTGTTTCATCTGTTTTTGAATTTTATACCCGTTATCTTTGTTGTAAAGTTATGTCCCTTTATTTTTTTTAGAGCTATTTACCGAATTATAAATTAAAACGAATCAGAAATAAGTCAAATAAGCCATGCGAAGAGAGGGGTTCCGTCCAACCGGAAAATATGGTGCTGGTGTGTGTTCTAGATTGGACGTTGCGCCTTTATTTTACCTACTTAAAGAAATAAAGGAGTTTCCCCTTTTAGAAAAGTGTAATCCAATCTTTAGTACATTTATAGCTATTAGATCCGGATTCCGGTCTGGTTTGGTCTCATCTGCTTTGTATATTTAGGCAAATACTACATCACTTTCTTTAATCACGTATAATAACATGTCATGAAAAATTGTAAATATAGCTACGTTGCCACTAACTTGTTCCCGTAGAATTTGTAACTCTACTATTTCGTGCCTTTCATTACAACGACGCAACTAATCTGGTAAAAGTGCAAGTCCTTCCATGATTAGTAAGATTTCCGTAAAGTATAATGTTTTACCTAACACATATGGACTCTTTGCTGAAAAAAAAAAACATATGTTTGATGCTCACTCTTCGCACCTTTTACTGTTTTTGCATGTGAAAGTTCAGCTAAAGATTCACGTTTAGAATTGATTTTTTCAAAATGAGCTGCTGTTTCATTAAATTGTGTGCGGTTTGTTGTCCAACTCCGTGTTCGCTAGCTAGTAAACT